TCAATGCCATTTTCTAATTACGTTAATTGTTCATAACATGACGTTTTTGTTTGTTGTTGTTGTTGTCTTCTTTTGAGGAGCTGTGTGGTACGAAATCGTTTCCCCGAATACACAACACAACAGCATTGCCCACACAGACACCCCCAGAGTACACACAGTACACACGCACACACAGGAACAGATCTCCGTCATGGATCTGTGTGGATTGCTTGTGGCTTATTTTAGCTGACTTTAAGTTTATGAAGAATTACGATGAAGGCACTTAAATGAATTGTTGCTGCGTATGCTGCGCGTATGTCTGGTCCATAAAAATTTTATGACCCATTGATAGTGCGAACGAATCTGGAGAGGCATAACAAAAAACCCACCCACCTTCAGCCCGCTCGCATGTCCGCCCTTGCGGCCGCCCACCTTGTGCCGTGCGGCGCAGGTGAAGCAGGTGAATCAGGTGAAGCAAGTTTGACAGTTGATTTTGAATTTGATTGAAGCCAAGTGCAATTGGCTGGCTGGCTGGCTAACTGACTGACTGGCCCCACGATCTTCGGCTGAGCAGATTGTTTATGGCATTTCGCAAGCATCGTTTGGCATCCATTAATCATGACTGGAAACTGCGCCGATGCCTAGCCGATTTTTATTGTTTTTTAAGCAACCCAACGAGAGGCAGCACTTTCAGCTTTTCTCATTTTCATTTTCTTCTCATCTCTCTTTCTCTCTCTCTCTCTCTCCCTTTTTGTTCTGTTTTTAAGTCCGTCAGCTTCTATTTTCATTTAATAGACATATTTGCTTGCCTCGGAAAGTTTTGCGCTTTGTTTATTTGTTGAATCAGCGCCGTCAAACCCATAACAACAATACGCGCAGCCACATCCACGTATTCTCCTCGTCCACATTCACATTCACATGCACATCCACTTCCACGTCCACGTCAGTGTTGGTAATGTGTTAACAGAGCAGATAAGTCGGAGACTGGTGCGCAAACATTTTGACAACTCGTGAACTTTAGGACGCCAGTCAGAAAAGAGAAACAACTTCGCACAGTGGTCCGCATAAACCATAAAAATCAATCCAAGCACATTCACAAAATTATGCCGAAATCTCTGCAGCCACTCAGAGAACTTAACGCAAAATAACTCTGAAATGTTTTATAAACAAACAAAAATAAATAAAGTGCCAAGCAGCGATTAGTCCACATACGTAACACCAGAGAGCAGAGGAACTGGAGCGCTAAAAAGCTAAACTGCCTGCCAGTGGGATATTCAAATGATTTCTTGATAAGTCTATTAAAATATTCGCTTTAAGCAGTAGAAGCCGAAAGAGTTCAAGTCCGTTTTATAATTAGTTAAGAATTATATTATAAATGAATACATATTATATTTTATGAAATTTTAATTTTCCTTTAATATTGAAAAAAAAAAATATTGTTATTTATGTCTTCATAAATTATTTTAATTTACTGTTTGTTAATATAATATTTAAATAATATAAATAAAAATAACTAAATATTTATTCAAAAAGATTTTAGTACATAGCAGATATGATAAGAAATTTAAATAAATACTCAAGATTGATGAGCTCAACCAGTATTGAGGAACTACTACTTTATTTATGTTAAATGGCATTAAATGTATATTTCAAACAGTATTTAGATTTACTTAGATATATTTTTTAGCATGTAATTTTAATATATTTTTTGTATACATTTTTAATATTTTTTTTTTTTTTTTTTTTTGTCATCCTGTAATTTATTTTAATGAATTTTGTAATTTTCTTTAATCATAAGAAATAACAAAAATGCATTAATATTTTTTCATGATTCATTCTCCTATGGGCAATTGAAAGGGTATACAAACTTCGTTATCGGCTGAAGAGAAGCTCAACCTTGTCACATGCTGAGATACGTTTGTGGGTTGTGTGTGAGGGCGTTTGCTTGGCAGCCGAGGCGCCGTCCGAGCGATCGCCAGCAGCACGAGATTAACACGCCATGCTCTAAATTCTGCTGACTGTTGACTGACTAAGCTTTTGGTAGCAAATGCTGCCACTGCTTCTGCTGCTTCTGCTGCTGCTGCGAGTCGACAGAGCGCTGTGAAATGAAATCTGTTTTATTGTATTTGAGAATGATTAGCCGGCTAGATACGCAGACGAGGCGTTATTACGCGAACGTGAAGATGGAGCTGAAGATGTGAGCCCCCGGAACGGACTCAGTATGCAAAGCCAGATGACACGATCAACTGAGCAACCGAGCCACTGTGAAACTCTGCGCTATATAAAGTGGCACAGTTTTTACGAGCCTGCGACTTTTGGGTCGACAGTTTGTTACCTGCCCTGCCCGTGGCCCGTGGCCCGTGGCCCGTGTGGCCCGCGGAGGCCCGTTGTGGCCTAGCCCAACAAGCAAGCAGAGCATGGCCAGCGAGACAAAGTCGCTAACCTTTTTTGGGGTTTTATCGCTGGGCCAGAGAAACACATAAAAAACAACAAAATAAGAAGAAGAAGAACACAACACACAGATGACAAGTTTGTCGCGTGTAAACAATTTGCGGTTGTCCAAAAAAGGCGGCGCGGGTGGTGAGAGACACAGAGAAAGAGAGCGCTAGAGAGGGAGAGATAGAGAGCGAGCGAGGCTGTTGTGGAGCATTGCGATATCAGTAGAAACGGATATCAAGAGAAATAATGCCTTTACTTGGTAGGCGGTGTAGGCGTTAACAGTTGGCGCTAATATTCTATGCACACAAGATGTTGAGGTAGGCATAAGAGAATTTAAGGAGAGAATAAAATGCTCTTCTATGTGTATTTAAATTTTTTGTTTTTTATTTTTATTAATTGTATTATTTTTAATTAATTTCTAGTTATATATGGAATCCTGTATTTGATATAAAGTTTGGAATTTACATAGATGAGGTTACATTTCATAGACATTTCGGGGCATAAATCTATTCTTCTTTGTCATACATAAAAAAAATATAGAAATATATAATTATAATTACAATTGAGGCTTTAAATAATTAATTTAATCTTCTAAGATATTTAAGAATCATAGAACTACTTAATATATATAAATAAAATAGAAGAAAAAAATAATTTCATATTATTCTGACTAAAAGAAAACGGAAAAAAAAATCAAATTCGTTTACAAATTCAGCTTCTTCTTTAAGAAATTCATAGAACTCTAAATTCGCCTAAGCAAAAAGTTAATAGATCTGATACTAGAAACCACAACTAGGCACTACTTGTAGCTAAAGCTGTGCACACTTGGTGCACACACAATTGGCGGCAACTGTAGGGGCAGTGGGCAAAGCACACAGTCGTACGCGCAGTACATTCACATATCTACAGATACATTAGAAAATATCTCAAAAAATCAACAAAATAACAGCGACGTCGACGGAGACAGCGAGCAGCGAGCAGCGGCGTCAGCGTTGCTGTTGTTGTTGTTGTTGCTGTTGTGAATGTTGCTGCTGCTGTTGTTGTTGTTGTTGAGCGTACAGAACGCGCATGAGTGAAATACATTTTCACGCTTCTAAACAGAGCAACGGCAACAGAAGAGACTTTTTGACTGTGACAACAACAACAACAACAACAATCAGAAGAAGAAGAAGCAGCAGCAGCAGCAGCAGAAGAACCATTCATAGGCTATATGCCGGCATTTGTGCTCCCGATGCCAAACGCAGACGCAGATCAGTCAAGAGTCAGAGCGGAGCCCGCGTCGATCGCAGTCGCATTCGCAGTGTCCGGACGTAGACGCAAAGAGACGTATGACGGCGATGCCGTAGTAGTTGATCGCGAAGCGCTTTTCGCCAAACAAACACGAAAAGTGTGCGCCACTATTTTCAAATCCCGCAGAGCGTCGCGAGCTGTGGCCGGCAACGGAACAGAATCAGCGAGTCCCGATAAAAGTCAGCGCACCCAAAATTCGCAGCACCAACACCAAACGAAACATACAACAACAATAACAACAACAACAATATCGCGAGTGTGTCTTGTGAGAGTTCGTTCAACGTCGCGAGTTTTTGTGTTTTATTTGTGCATTTTTTGTCGATCGGGTTCCCAGGGCCGAAGAGCATGGGAAAAACTGGCTAAGGATACGGCAACGCACAGGCAATCATCGGGAACAGAACAGCCAGCTGAAGGAGAAGAAGAAGAAGAAGAACCAACAGAATAACAACAAACATACAAAAATACAGAAACCAAAAACGAAAAACGAAAAACTGAAACTGAAACTGAAACTGGAAGCTGAGCTTCAGCTCTCTTAGCCGAGGCACTGCGCTTTGATTAAAGCGCGCGTTTAATTTCATTTTTTACGCTACTCCAACGAGAAGAAGAAGAAGAGTTTTGGTTGTTGTTGTTGTTGTTTTTTTGGTGCGGCTCCACCCTTCCAACTATTTTTCAACATTTTGTGCTTTGATTCGCTGTTCACATTTGGGGCCCTGGCCAACTAGCCAACTGGCCTGGACACGACAACAACAACAACAAAACAACAACAACAGCAACAGGCAGAACATCGTCGTCGACTCCTGCGCTGGCTGGCTCCTTGGGCGCTGCTCAGTACGCCGGCAGCTTTCTCCGTGTGCGTACCAAACAGCGCAGCAGCTGCGCCTGCGTTCAAAATAAAACCTGAAGTAACCAAAAGTTGTAACACTCAACAGATCATCATCAGCAACATCATAATGATGATCTTGAGCTCTTTGTGATCCCCAAACGCTGATCGCTGATTGCGGATCGTCGATCGTTGATCGTGGATCGTCGATCGTGGATCGCCCGATCTCTGATCGATTTTCGCGCCGCCACGTTTTTGTCGCCTGTGCTCAGGCATTGGAGTTCGTCAAGTGCCTCCGGCCTGAGTTTGCGCCACGTCTGAACTGAAAGTATCTGAGCGCTTGACGCTTGATTAATTCGCTCGTCGGCAAAGCTGAAACTTCATTTCATTTAGTTTTGTTTTTGCATTTGTTGTGCTGGCTCGTTTTGCGAAATATTCAAATAAAAACACATCTCGTACTCGCATTCGTACTCGCACTCGCACTCGCACTCGCATTCATCGCGGCCGCAATAAAAAATACCTTTAACTACCTGCCCAAACACTGAAACAACAACAACAACAACAACAGCAACAACATTAACCAACAACAACACTCGAGACTGGGCCACATTTGTTGTTGCCGCTATTGCGGCTTCGGAGCGATATGCGGTTATTCATGGTAATTGCAATTTTAATATTTGCAATGCCAATGACGGGATTCGGCTGGTGAGTTCTCCACTTAGAATCTACTAAAACAACAACAACAACAAGTTAAATTTCCTATATTAAGTGCTTAACATATCGTTAAGAGCAAAAAAAAGTACAAAACAGATTTGCGGCTTTATTTTAAAGTTTCTTGGTGCAATTAAATCCACATTTTATAGTAAAAGTCTTATTCAAACAAATTTGTTTTTTATTTTTGTTTATGGTTTGATTTTGTTATTTGTTGATTAAATAAATTTATTGCATTTTTTTTATGTATTTATTTTATTTTATTTTATTCTATTTTATTTTATTTTATTCTATTTTATTTTATTTTATTTTATTTTATTTTATTT